ATGAGCTTCGGGCTGACGGTATTAGTAGTAGTAGTAGTACTTTATTTACAGTAATCCGGCTACAGAGCTCACTGCAGGGACAAAGCGCTAAAGGCGAACAGCCTGACAAAGGCCCTTGTCCCTCCGCAGTCCGTGACAGTGCAAAGCTTAAGCATCAGCACTGGCAAACAATATATATATTCAATACATTGATTTCAAGCAACCTGCAAATGTACACACAAAATTCAAACATGAATAGCATAAGAAGTTTACATAACACCATTCAAGAATTAGAGGTCACTCTCGTAAAAATTCACAACTAAACGATATCAATAAAACCACTCAAAAACAGACACAAAATGCATGCGGATACAGTGAATTGCGCTGTGTACACTCGTATAATGACAAAGAAATTTATGAACAATTTAAGCATTTGCAGAGGCATGAGACTCCATTACGTAATTTCGATAGTGTAGACCGGTGGTTATGAATAAGTTCTTTATTTGTTCCTTGAAAGTCGCACTACTAGCCCTAAAGTTCAATTGATCTTCAAGGGTATTTAAAACCTGAGGTACCTGGTAAGCAACACTTTGTTTTCCATACTTGGCTCTTGTTCTAGGAGCTCGTTCCTTTTGTTCTCGCAAACTGTAGTGTGGTCTTTCGGTGCAACTTTCTTCATATAGCTGAGACCTCGTCGCTATGTTGGGAGTCGTCGAAAACACGTTACGGGTTCTCGTAAAGAGCTTGGTTGTAGTAGTTCGTGCGCTGTAAGTGCACCAGCACGGGCTGGCGGGGCTTTCGCTAGCGTCGAAACTCACTGAAAGTTGGTCGCCATTACAGTTGGCTTTCCCGCCAGTCGGTCGCAAGAAGCTCGGCACCGTCCGCTGACCGCCACGGCGGACTCTCGTTTGCCCGCTGCACTCGCTCGAGTTTGTGGAAAAGGGCCGCATTACCGTCCATTTCTTCAGAGCTAGCTCCAAACTAGGTCGGCGCTGTTCGCGGCGGCGGCCAAGCGCATGCTCATTCTCCCGTTCGAAGTTCGCTGGCGGCAGACACTCCACGTGCAGCGCCGTGTTTGGTCTCGCATTCGCTTGCTCAAGCTGAACGATCTCGCTCGCTTAGGACTCGCCGACTTGTTAGCGGCACGGTGGTTTGCGATGTTGTGACTGCGGGTGCCGCTCCTAAGCTGTTGCGCTACGGGGATCGAAATGAGTCTTTGACGATGCGTGACAGCACGGTGAAATTATTAGCATGTCATATCTCACATATGTTTTCATTTCAGCTTGCACGTATTTCTCATATGCATTTGTATTCATCCTCTGTCACGTGTGACTCACTATTTTACATACTTATTGTGGAGCCGTGGGCACATACCGTGTTGAAGACTGTGCGCTGGCGTCTGCGATGCCAGTAAATCATCTCTTTCGTCAGAGCATCTTCAGAAGGACTGTGTGAGATATGAAGGTAAAGTTATTTGTGTGTAACATTTTAACGCTTATTTTATATTACCGTGCACGTACTTGTCATATGCGAGTATCTTCATCTTCTGTGTCGTGTGCCTAACTATTTTTACTATATTATTGTACGTGCAGCCGTGGGAACACAACAGGCAGAGCGCGCCGCCAACTCCTCGCGACGAAACGCCGGAGTGACGCCGCGAGGTCAACGATAAAAAAAAGAAAACAAACATCCAGACTCCCCGGGTGCGACTCTCTCCCTCGGAAGCGTAGATTCACCGACGAACCTTCTCACCCCACAACGGCGGCCGAGCAAGCACTCGAACTTTCTAGATGGAAAGGGGCGTGGCGAGGCCGGGTTGAGTCATCCATCGCGAACGGCCTTCGAGCCGTCTCGTCCTCTCCCTAGCCTTCGCTGCGTATCGTGCCGACAAAAGGATTAGAACTTTCTGGAATCTCGCGCGGAAGGTATTTAATCGAGCAGCCGGGACGAAAGATCAGGAGAAGACGGAAGTTAACGCCAGAGCGCGCAGAGATTCCGCCGTGTAGTCGGCGAAGGTTTTGTCCATGGAGACAAAGCAGGAGAAGAAGATGATTTCCACCTGAGGGGGGACGACTCGAGCTACAGGCAAGAGTGTGTGTTTACCGCTATCGAGCGAGGACGCGTGGCAACAGCTGCGTGTGTGAAGCCGACGTGTTTCCGGCGAAGAAGTTTGAAGCTTGGAGAGTGGCCAAATGAAGACGTGAGGTTTCCTGAAAGAGAAACTTCGGCGAGGTTTCCTGGAAGAGAAACTTCGGGGGGCCCCAGAACGACAATAACGCTGGACTTTCAGTGAGTGATCCTCGGAAGAGTATCATCGTACTTTTGTTCCAAGAACTTTGGACTGAATAGGTTTTCTATCTCTTTAGTCTTTAAGTGTCTTGGTTGTTCAATGCATGCGACTGCATTGTAGTGCGTATTGTTGTCTGCGTCCGTTGTTTCGAGTGTGGCTGATTGTACTGTGTAGTACGTTGTTTGGTGTGTGACATATTGTATTCAACTAATGTGGACTGTGCATAGTTGTGTATTGTTTTTGGATCTGCCGTTATTGAGAATATAATTTTGTTTTGGTTATCAACTCTCGGCTCTGACTTGTTCTTTGGGCCACAGCCGGCGTCCGCTGGCGCGCCAAAAAGGACCACTTCTAAATTGTCCACGCTTTCGTGGTGCGGTTCGGGGGGCCGATACTTCGACCATTGGAATTAGCCAAGCGATCGCCTCCCTAATTAACGGGACCTGCGTGACAATTAATCTGGCGTCCGCGACGAGGACCTTTTGGTGCACAGTGTGTCCAAAGTAGTGAGAAAGAGCCTCGAGTTGTCGATAGAGCTATCGGAACGATTTTGTGTGTTGCTCAGTGTTCTCGTTAACAAGTGCAGGGGAGTGTTCCGATAGACTGATTCAGGCAGATACTTTTTGCACGCGGCAAGCCTGCATTTGCGAGACACGATGGATCTCGAAAAGTTAGTAGCTCTTGGTGAGAAAATGGGTCTTTCTGGCGCCGAACTACGGAAGTGGGTCACCCAGAAGGAAAAAAAAAGAAGAAGAGAGGGCCAAAGAAGAAAAAGCAGCTGAGCTGGAAAAAGAAAGGTTGGCGGTCGAAAGAGCCAAAGCTGAAAAAAGAAGCTGAGTTGGAGAGAGAGAGGTTGGCAGCTGAGAGGGCCAAGGAAGAAAAAGCAGCTGAGTTGGAGAGAGAAAGGCTGGCTGCTGAAATGGCGAAAGAAGAAAGAGAGGCAAAGGACCGACAGCTGAAAGAAGACAGAGAGCAGCAATTGAAGTTGGAGCTGGAGTGAGAAAAATTGGCAGCCGAAAGGGTGAGAGAAGAAGGAGAGGCGGAGATGGCTGAAAGGGAACGTCAGCGGCAGCACGAGATGGAACTCGAGCGGCTCCGTTTGCAACAGCGAAGTGAAACTCCCGTCCAAGCTAGAGTTGAAAGCAGCGAACGGGAAGATCATGGCTTCCGCTTAAACCCAAGCAAGCTGCTCGTAGCGTTTGATGAAAGGAAGGACGACCTTGACGCGTACCTTCACCGATTTGAGACGATTGCGAGGAGCCAGAATTGGCCGGATCATCAATGGGCAACTGCTCTGAGTACTTGCTTGAGTGGTGAAGCGCTCAGTGTGTACGGTAGGCTGACGCCGACTGATGCAGCCAACTATGCAAAGGTGAAAACTGCCTTGCTGAAGCGATTTAGATTTACTGTGGAAGGATTCCGGGACAGATTTCGGACAGGAAAGCCAGCTGATGGTGAGACGGCTACGCAGTTTGCCGCCCGACTTTGCCATTATTTCGACAGATGGATTGAACTTTTAGAGACAGCGCAGGAGTACGATGAGCTTAGAGAGCTCGTAATTAGAGAACAATTTCTTACTAGTTGCCACCCAAGCCTGTCGCTGTACTTGAAAGAGAGGAGAGCTATGTCACTTGAAGACATGCTTGAATTAGCTGATCAATTCTTGGATGCGCAAGGTGGCACTAATTTGGCCAAGGTCAAAAAGAAATGTCATGAAGATTCGAAGAAATCGGCACCCCAACAAAAGAATCGTGCACCGGAGAGCATTCCGCGATGTTTTCTGTGTACCCGAGTGGGTCACCGTGCTAACCACTGCCGAACTAACTTCACGAGCCCCACGGTTGTAAAATGTTTCAAATGTGGTCAGACTGGGCACAAGGCAGACGCATGTCGTAACGGAGCGAGTCAAACTCACCAGGTATCCTGTCCACAAGTGGCACCAAAAACCGTTGATGACGTCACCGATGGATTCGTAGAGTTGAAAAATGGGGAGAAAATCCCTATTGTGGATGCTGTAATGACAAAACAGCAAACAGGTGCTACGAAGGGAATGCCTGTGATGGCTGGAAAAGTGGCGGGAAGGCGTGTAGACGTTTTAAGAGACACTGGGTGCTCCACTGTGATAGTACGAAGAGACCTAGTCTGCGACAACGAACTCACGGGCCAGACCAGCCTGATTTACACCGTCGATCGTTCGGTCATGAGGCTGCCTGAGGCCAAGGTCAAGATCGAGACGCCCTTCTACAGTGGAACTGTTTCTGCCTTCTGCATGGATGATCCATTGTATGACGTAATCGTGGGGAACATCGAGGGCGCCCGTCCGCCGGACCAACCTGAACCTCTTGAAGAGGACCCAGAGATCGATCCACCATCGATTGCAAACCCTCACAACCAACCAGCCACGGCCGACGTGGACGTAGTCGCAGTTGCGACCCGAGCACAGACTAAAGCCCAATCGAAGCCATTCCAGTCCCTCCCTGCACCCAATTCCGAGGAGGACCCGAGCTTCAGCTATGCCGAGGAACAAATCAAGGACGAGTCGTTAAAACCCTGCTTTGCGCAAATCGACAAGGACCTCAGGTGCCATAATAGTAAATGCGCGATAATGTTCAAGCAGGTAGATGGACTGCTCTAAAGGTACTATACGGAGCGGAGTGGTCGACGGATACGACAGCTCTTGGTGCCGAAGAACCGCCGAGAGGCTGTTATGAAGCTAGCCCACGATGGGATAATGGCAGGGCACCTGGGAGCCGAGAAAACCAAGGACAGAATTCAGGAAGAATTCTTCTGGACAGGTGTCACAGCCAACGTGAAGCGGTTCGTGGCATCTTGCGATATCTGCCAGCGAACTGTGCCAAAAGGAAGGGTGCCACACGTGTCACTCGGCCAGTCCCCCGTCATAGACATCCCCTTTAAAAGGGTAGCTATTGATATAGTAGCCCCTATCAGACCTCCATCCGGTCAAGGAAATCGCTATATCCTGACGCTTGTCGATTGCGCCACGCGCTACCCGGAGGCAGTTGCACTACCGGGCATAGAGACCGAACGAGTCACAGAAGCCCTCGTTGAGATGTTGTCCCGTTTCGGGGTACCAAGGGAAATCCTAAGTGATCGGGGCTCGAATTTTACGTCGGAGTTAATGAAGGAAGTGGCACGACTTCTATCGGTGCGCCAACTCCATACCACCCCTTATCACCCGATGGCCAACGGGATGGTGGAAAAATTTAATGGCACCCTGAAGACTATGCTTAAACGAATGTGTGCGGAGAAACCAAAAAACTGGGACAGATTCCTTGGTCCGTTGCTGTTCGCGTACAGAGAGGTTCCCCAGGCAAGTCTCGGCTTTTCACCGTTCGAGCTACTGTACGGCCGACACGTCCGGGGACCCCTGGCGATCTTAAAGGAAGTCTGGACGAACCAAGAGCTGGACGATGAGCTGAAGACAACCTACCAGTACGTATTGGATCTCTGAAATTGTCTAGAAGAGACGTGCCGTCTAGCTCACGAAGAACTCCGAAGGGCGGGAGCACGCTACGCTAAGCACTACAATAGAAAATCAAGGGATAGAATGTTCCAACCAGGGGATAAGGTTCTCATCCTGCTCCCAACTGACAAAAATAAACTCTTGCTGCATTAGAAAGGGCCCTTTGAAGTACAGGCGACAATCGGAGACTTAGATTACTCCATAAAGACGCCGGGCAGGCCGAAAATTTTTCATGCCAATTTGCTGAAGAAGTATGCGGAGCGGGAAACGAACCGAGATGCGCCACACCAATGCCAAGTCATCGTAGGGGTTATCGACAATGTAGATGAACAGGAACTACCGGTGCCGGAGTTCGTGCAGACCGAAGGGATTGCTGACGTCAAGATCTGCCCAAGTTTGACGGACCAACAAAAGGAGGCGTTAGAGAAAACCATGACAGCGCACTCTAAAATATTTTCAAACGTCCCGGGCAAGACGGATTGGGTGGAGTGCCACCTCGAGACAGTGACGGAGTCCCCAGTCTACGTCAAACAGTACCCGTTACCTTTTGCTACAACTAAGGACATCGAGGCCGAGGTACAGCAAATGAAAACACTGGGTATAATTGAAATCTCGAAATCGCCCTATAATTCCCCAGTGTTGCTTGTGGACAAACCGGACAAAACCAAGCGGTTTGTAATCGATTTCCGGCGCCTGAACAACCTCATAATAGCAGATGCAGAGCCCATGCCTAGAGCAGATGCCGTTTTTGCCAGTGCCACAAACAAAAGATACTTCTCTAAATTAGATTTTGTTAAGGGCTACTGGCTAATCCCGCTCTCGCCGCAGTCAAAACCTAAGACTGCGTTTTCGACAAAATCCGGTCTCTACCAGTTTTGCTACATGCCTTTCGGGATCAAAACGGCACCCGCCGTGTTCGCCCGGCTGATGCGACTAGTCACTGAGGGAATCCCGGGCGTTGAACATTACTACGACGACGTACTCATAACAAGCACGACCTGGGAAGAACACCTATCCACTCTCAGACAGCTCTTCACTCGAATTCAGGCTGCCGGGTTAACCGTGAGACCGAGCTGTGTGAGTTGGGAATGAATGAGATTGATTTCCTTGGTCATCACATTGGACAAAACATGCGTGCTCCACTGGGAAAGACTCTCGACAAAATCCAAGCTGCACCCGCCCCAAAGACGAAGCGACAGGTGCGCGCTTTTCTCGGATTGACCAGATATTACCGGGAGTTTATTCCAAATTATGCCGAGATCAGCGCCCCTCTCACAGAACTGATCAAGAAGGGTGAAAGCAACTTAGTAAAATGGACGACGACACACGAGAAAGCATTTGCGAAACTCAAGGAATGCATCTCGAACCCTCCCGTGCTCCGCCTCCCAGACTTAACCAAGGAATTTATCCTCCGCACCGGCGCTTCCGACACAAGCCTCGGGGCTGTGCTTTTGCAGTCACACGAAGGTACCCTCCATCCTATAGCATACGCCAGTCGCAAACTACTTCCCCGGAAATCATCCTACAGCACCATCGAAAGAGAATGTCTGGCCCTGGTGTGAGGGATACAGAAGTTTAATATTTATCTCTACGGAGTTCCTTTCTTGGTCCAGACTGACCACCAGCCACTCCAATACATAAAACATGCTAAACAGCTCAACAGCAGAGTGTTGAGGTGGAGCTTGCTTCTGCAAGAGTATCAATTCCGAGTCGAGCACATCAAGGGAAGTGAGAACGTTGGTGCCGACTACCTTAGCCGAGTTTGAATGTTTTGGAAGAGTCTGACAGCAGTGAATGCAATAGGCTGTGTTGTTATTGTGTTATCCTGTGTCACAAGTGTCGAAGTGTTTGTGCTGTGACGTGATGTATGGTATTGTACAATTGTTGTAATGAGAGAACTTTGTACATTCGTATTGTTTGAAATATGTGACGGAGTGTTGCATTCATGTACCTGTGGCTATATTCTATGTGTTGTGGAATTGAATTACAATGTAGAATTGTATTGAGGGATATATTGTGAATGTGACGTGTCATGAGCGACGGACTATGTTACAGTCTTTGAGAGTGTGAGGACTGTTCGTGCTCGTTTGTGTGGTTTTGAATATTATGAGATAATATTCTTAAGTGGGGGGCAGTGTCACAGAACGAGCGCTCAAAAAGAGCGCGCCGCCAACTCCTCGCGACGAAACGCCGGAGTGACGCCGCGAGGTCAACGATAAAAAAAAGAAAACAAACATTCATACTCCCCGGGCGCGACTCTCTCCCTCGGAAGCGTAGATTCGCCGACGAACCTCCTCACCCCACAACGGCGGCCGAGCAAGCACTCGAACTTTCTAGATGGAAAGGGGCGTGGCGAGATCGGCTTGAGTCATCCATCGCGAACGGCCTTCGAGCCGTCTCGTCCTCTCCCCAGCCTTCGCTGCGTATCGCGCCGGCGAAAGGATGAGAACTTTGTGGAATCTCGCGCGGAAGGTATTTAATCGAGCAGCCGAGACGAAAGATCAGGAGAAGACGGAAGTTAGCGCCAGAGCGCGTAGGAATTCCACCGTGTAGTCGGCGAAGGTTTTGTCCGTGGAGACAAAGCAGGAGAAGAAGATGATTTCCACCTGAGGGGTGACGACTCGAGCTACAGGCAAGAGTGTGTGTTTACCGCTATCGAGCGAAGACGCGTGGCAACAGCTGTGTGTGTGAAGCCAACGTGTTTCCGGCGAAGAAGGTTGAAGCTTGGAGAGTGGCCAATTGAAGACCCGAGGTTTTCTGGAAGAGAAACATCGGCGAGGTTTCCTTGAAGAGAAACTTCGGGGGGCCGCGGAACGACAACAACGCTGGACTTTCAGTGAGTGATCCTCGGAAGAGTATCATCGTACTTTTGTTCCAAGAACTTTGGACTGAATAGGTTTTCTATCTCTTTAGTCTTTAAGTGTCTTGGTTGTTCAATGCATGCGACTGCATTGTAGTGCGTATTGTTGTCTGTGTCCGTTGTTTCGAGTGTGGCTAATTGTACTGTGTAGTACGTTGTTTGGTGTGTGACATATTGCCTTCAACTAATGTGGAGTGTGCATACTTGTGTATTGTTTTTGGATCTGCCATTATTGAGAATATAATTTTGTTTAGGTTATGAACTCTCGGCTCAGACTTGTTCTTTGGGTCACAGCCGGCGTCCGCTGGCGCGCCAAAAAGGACCACTTCTAAATTGTCCACGCTTTCGTGGTGCGGTTCGGGGGGCCGATACTTCGGCCCTTGGAATCAGGCCGGAGATCGCCTCCCTAATTAACGGGACCTGTGTGGCAGTCGAGTTCCTAACTATTTTTACTATACTATTGTACGTGCAGCCGTGGGAACACAACAGGCAGAATGCTGCGTGCGCTGGCGTCTGCAATGCCTGTCATCTATCGCTTCCATCGGAGGAGCTCCACAAGGAGTGAACGAGATGTGACAACGAGACTGGACTTGTACACTTCACCATGAATTTGCTTAAAAGAATGGGGAAACTTCATGTGTATGTAGAAAACTAAAAGAATTCGATGTGTCATTTTTGTCTTTCGTTGTTGCCGTGACTGTGAAAGCAGTTACACATAACTGGCTAACTACTTTTTCGCGTGTTCTTTACTGCGGAATTTGTTGCTGACTGCGCAGAAAAACAGGCGAAAAAAGTATTAGGCCTGGCGGAGCATGAACAAAAAACAATGTTTGAACTGGGGACAAAAAGTTCACCGATTGGAGTATTTGAGTGGATCAACCGTTAGTCCGGCAAGGTGCAACTGTGAGAACTAACGGTTGCCCGGTAAGGTGTAAATGTGGGGATTAACAGTTGCTCTATAAGGTGCAAATGTAAGGACTAAATGTTAGTCCTTTCGGGTGAACTGTGGGACTAACGGTTCCTCACTAGGTTGTAAGTGTGAGAAATAAATGTTAGCCTTTGAGGGGACTAACTGTTGGACCCGGTACCGTTAGTCCTTGAAGAGATTAATGATTGTGGCAGCCCCTTTAGTCCCCAAAAGGACGAACGACACACCCTTTTAACACCCTTTTGCCTTAGAGTGTATCAACTTGAAAGTCAGCAGCGTTGAACCCTTCCGTTACCACACCGTGCTTTATTTCATTAGCTGATTCACAAGCTGTCGAACGCGTCAGTATTTCGAACGAATGTTCGCCAATATAAAGGCTGTTCTCTCTTGCAAGCACACCTGAGGTATTAGAAAAAAAATAGTTTTATGCTTGGGTAGGTATTGTGAAGGCAACCTCAGTCACGGGCAGTGCATACGGTTCCTAAATCTCCGCTCGCGCTATCGGCAAGCGCACAATAATCTTCGACACCCTACCGTATTCCCACGCATTTTAATGTGTAATCCTTATCTTTCAAGAAGAAATGATGAACAGTATCAACTGTTACTGCCGAGTCCCACCATAGGTTGCATATTGTCCTATGTACAACTAACTCATGAACGTGTGGTTTCTATTGCTCCAGATTACATTCGCAGCTGCCCACCAAAAAGGTAACAATTCTAAGATTTTTGCAGATGGTAGACAGGGAACTGGACTTTTTACAAATGCGACGAACAACCGGCATTACAGCTTCAAGCTCTGTTTCTTATTTTTTTAGTCTCTTCGCTACAGTCGCAATCTCAGCAGAAGTGTTCATTTTTTTTTATTGTAGACTGTTCTCCCACTAATCAGGTTACCTGGTTTCGATGAATTTGTAAATCCAGTTATCTTTTTTAATACTTCCCCTGTTTTCCGGCATTTTAGTTTTTTTTCGACTTCTTGCCAGCACTCTATTCAATTCAATTCAATTTATTTTCCAGTTTATACATGCTGGATGGTTGCGTTGGGTTAAAAGCTACATAAGCAGCTTGACGAGACCCAACGACCAGACTATACAGGGCAGTAACAACAAGCAGTCCGGTGCAGGGACGAGAAAGCCAACAAGTAAAACAGAATACCATATTGTATGTACATATACAGCGATTTACATGGATTTCCAGCAC